ATCAGCAGCCCTGGGGGTCAGCGAGCCGGGGTCCAGACTGGCTGCCCTGCCGAGCCCGGAAAAAGAAGTCAAGTCCCTTTTAGGGATTGGGAAAAGTTTCAAAAGTCTTCTTGCTGAAAGCGAGTTTTTACTTTCCTCCGGCCACGCCCCCTCCGGGAACTTTGCACCAATAACTCCGCAGCTGTGGGGAGTTGGCACCCAATCAGGGCGAGGAGAACCCGTCGGCTCTAAGACCCAGCCGCGCTGAGCCAGACTTGAATGCTGCTCAGTCTCAACTTGAAAAAGATTTTTTTTTCAAGAAAAGAGTTATATCTTATTAAGTTTTATTTTATTATCAAATTTTGGTTAGTGGGCCCACGTGCCCAGAGGGAAAAAAAGACGCTTCTTTGCAAAAAAAAAGTTAGTTTGAAAAATAAAAGCGAATTGATTAATGTAGTCAAATATCTCTCTCTCCCCAAGACCTTCTAAGTAGCAAAGACCCGGGGACTATTTTTCTTATTAATGAGTGATGAGGCGAATAATTAGATTTCCTAATTGTCGGGGCCCAGGTGTAATGGATTCAAAGCAAACGTGCTGGCTTGGCCTGGAAGGGGCCTCGCTTGGGTGTTATTATTTAAGCCAATAATTAATAATCAACAGGGAGTTTCCAGGTCCAGGGCCGTCAGGAATAACCTATGAAGGTTTTGGGGGCAAATTACAGAAATGGAGTGCCCCCTGCCCCACCCGAGGAGCTGGGCCGCAGTGTCTATAGGGGGAAGGAGGAGTAGGGGGGATTAGCAATGTCTTGGCCCTTTAATCCTGTAAATTCGCCGTGGACTCGGTAACTCACCCGCGTCATTGTGAGCAGTTTTGTGGAATTTGGGGACTACGGCGAAATAGCTCCGCTCAGCTCCCCCTTCCCCTCCCGCGTAGACGCCTGCAGCCCACAACTCCAGCATCGCTGCGGCCCCCTTTTCCCAGAGAGAAATTCCCTTTTGCAGCGCGTCCCGAACGCCGGGAACAAAGCGGCGAGTCCCCGGCGGGCAGAGCCCGGCCCGGCTGGCCGAGCAGAGCACCCAGCGGCTTCCCGCGGGGACTTCGCCCAGGACGCGCGTCCCCAGCGCGGGCTCCCCACCTGCCTGCGCCTGGAGCCGACCCCGGCCGCAGTGTCCTCTTCGCGCCACCGGCGAAGTCCCTTTGGGGTTCTCCAAACTGGTTTTTATATTTCGGTGGTGCTCGGTGGGTTGGTGTGGGATGGGTGCTTTGGGCACGGGGCTCCGTGGGGGGACGCGGTGAGCGATGGCAAACGGTTTAAGACGCCCCCAGAGAAGCTGTTATGCGGGGCCAGGACTTGGAGCGGAGGGGTCCTCGCCCTTCCAAGTTTTCTTCTTCTCTCTAGGAATCCCGGAAGGTTTGTTTATTTGTGGACTGAGTATTTATCCCTTCAACACCTCGAGTCGTCGGACCCCCCTGTGCCCGCTTCCCCTGAAGGGGCGGGACCCCCACCAGAAGGGCTAAATGCTGGTCAGAATTCTTCTGGAAGTTGTCCATCCGGTTGGGTGGGGAAGAAGACCAGATAAAACGTTTGTTTCGGGTTTCCTTTTCCCTCCTAACTCTCATTAGGTTCCCAGGAAAGGGGTGCGAACCGACCGTCACACTTAGCTTCTGGGAGGTGAGTAGAAGGCATGGGGGACATGGCATTCATTTTCAATAAAAGGACAAAAGAAAATGCATGTGTGTGCAAGATCGACAAATGATATTATCTCGTGAAAAATTCAGAATCAAAGAGAAAGTACGCACAGGTTCCTATTGCCTCGAATAGTCTACTTCTGAAACTCTTTTTTTTTATGGCTGCTCTGAGTTCTTTTTCTAATTTGATTTTTTTTTTCAACGAAGTAAAATAAAGCTTCCCAGACCTTAGCTCACAGGTGAGTGGTTTGAGAGTTCTCTCACCCCACCCCCTCGATTCCCACTACGACTTTATTATTTTTTAATACCTTCACAACGTCCACATCCATCTTTTTTTTTTAAAAAATACTCTGGCGAAAAGTGCCTTCTCAGGGAGCGCGTGACAGGCTGCTCACAATTTTACTGGAAATGCTAACTATTGATCAAGAAACACTCCTCGGTCTGTAGGCTTCCTGGAGAAATATTATTTACTCTGCTTTTACGAGGTGCTTTAAAAAAAAAAAAAGCTTTATCACAGAATAGGCAAAACCCCAAAATAGCTAAGGACCATGGAAAATAAATTCAAAAATATCAGTTTCTGCAGAAGTTTGCATTTACAAGGGTGTTCAGGTTTAAACCAATGTCATCTGAAAAGAACTAAGTTGAGTTGCCAAAATTAGTACTCCCCTCCCCCCCCAAAAAAGAAAAAAAAGGTGGGAGTTGGAGGAAAGAAATCCTTATAATCAAGACAGAAAAGGTGAGGGAGACATTTTCCTTTGCCCCTGGAATTAGGTTTCTTCTCTGCTCAGTAGGACTCCGGGAGAAATGTTTGTTCAGGTTATTAAAACAACACCTTCCACACACCTGGACTTTGCAAAAACCATATTTCCGATCTTTCTTTAACCGGCTCGGGTATTTTGGATTGGGGGCTGCTCATTTCTTGCTGATTTCTTCCTTTCTTGGCCTCGTTGTCAATGAGCTGAAAGCAGAATCCGGTCCCAGAGGGCCCTGTGACCTTCTAGAATAATAAGCGATGATAAAGGCAAAAGATATTCAAGTCACCCCGATACCCACCACCACCGCCATCACTACCACCGTCACTACCACCCCATTGCATTCTCTCCTGAGAGCCGCCAGCTCCTGCACCTGGGTCGGCTCCGGTGACCTGGAGTGTTGGCACCCCCTTGAGGCCAACGGGAAAACTACTCTTAAAAGAAAAAAAAAAATCAGATCCTCTGGTTACAATGAAGGTGCTGACACCTTATGGAAGCAACTTAGCATTGCATGGCAGGAGTAAAGCCTTCAAAGTCACAGTAAATAAACTGTGTGCGGTGCATAGCTAAAAACACACACACACACAAATAACACAAAACATTTGCCATAGCTTTGCAATGTGTCAAGAACACCATCTGTTGGGAAACAGAAATGTCTTTGAAACTGCTAGGAGAGCATGAAATCCTCTCTAGGGAGATTCTCTCTTGTTTTAAGCAAATAAAATCCATGCCTCTTAGTGCCTAGTCTCTTTTTTTCTTTCTTTTTTCTTTTCCCTTCCTTCCTTCCTTCCTTCCTTCCTTCCTTTCTTTTTTTCTTTCTTTTTCTTTTTACTTCTTTCTCTTTTCCTTTATAAGTCCCAGGGTTGCTGAACAAGTTGCTCCTCCGTGTCTTCCCAGGGCAGCTGTCTTCCTGCCCTGCGTGAGTTTCAGGGGATTCATCGGGAAAATGTGTGTACTTGATGTGTATGTGGCATTGGATTTAACTTGAGGGAGATTTTTAAACGTGTCTGCAGCAGCGTCTATGTTTGTTTTTGTTTTTTGTTTTTTTATTTAAAAAATTAAGAAAGGATAGGTTTGAGAGTACCTGGGGATGAGTGAAAATGGAGTGCATATTAGATAATTATTTGTATCAAGGTTAAAATTCTTGCGTGGGATAATTATGTGGTCAAGTAAGAACATGTTCTTGTTTTTAAAAAGTACATGTCAAAATATTTAGCACTGATAATCATCATCTCTGCCACTTTTAAAAGATTCAGCCAAAGGTGGGGGGTAGGGGGACTGAGGGAGGAGGAGAGAGGAGTATCTGAAATATAGTAAAATGAGAACAGTTTCTGAATTGTGGGTATTCATTGGGTACTCTTCTTGCAATTTTTCTGTAAGTTTGAAATTTTCCAAAATTAAACAAAACGGGGGGAAAATACCTTTGCTACTCTGAAAATTTAAAAAGGGATGTGACACAAAGCAGACATCTTTCTACGGAAGGAGTTGCAAACCCTGATGTGGGGACCCAACTTGGCCTCTGTGTCCCCTCTCCTTGTGCTCTGGAAATTTCTGAAAAACAGCCATGGAATTTATCACATTAAGTTGTAGTTGTTAAAGAAAAAAAGAAGCTGATTTTCTTAAAAGCTTATCTATCTTATAATTCAAGCATCGCCACAATTGATACAGTCAAAGATTCAAGAAATCCAAGACTGCTATAGATGTTTTCAAAAGAGAATATTAAAGATATGCATGTTACTTCTTAAAGAGAGTTCATGACATGCTTATCCACTGCCCATTTCATACAAGTCCTATAGAGTTGCCTTTATCCATATTGCTATGTAATTGATTTGCTTACATGGTGTATCAGTCAGTTAAGGCTGGTGTATGCATAGTAACAAACACCCCCAGTCTCAGTGACTTCATCTTTTTTATTATATTTTATTTTTATTGTTGACGTTATTACAGATGTCCCCCATTTCTCCCCTCTTTGCCCACTTCTACCCAGATCCCGCCTTCCCCTCCCTCTGGTCCTCTCCATGCTGTTGTCTGTCCATGGGCTACGTACACATGTTTCTTGGTTAATCTCTTCACCTTCTTTCACCCAGTACCCCCCACCTAACTCCCTTCTGACATATGTCAAGCTGTACCATGTATCCATGTCTCTGGTCCTATTTTGTTCATGAGTTTATTTTATTCATCAGATTCCACATATCAGTGAGATCATATGGTATTTGTCTTTCTCTGACTGGCTTATTTCACTTAGCATAATAATCTCCACATCCATGCTGTT